TTGTCCCTGTATGCATCCCGAATATGTAATAAATAAATAAATAAACTCATTGTTGAGGATCTCCATTGGAAACATCTGCATCTTGGGTTTAGAACGTTGTGCTCAATTATAAATAATCAATTTTGGATTCTTTCTCCAAGACACGTAGTCGCAGAAACTAAAAGATATTTCTAAAGTGCTTTGATTCGTTAGAAAGATTGCGCTTTACTTTATAAAGTCTTAAAGTTTCAAATTGATCTTTGAAAGTTATTACTAATATTGACCGTTTTATTGTATTAAATTGTAAAGAAATTTTTGAACTGAATAATTACATTAAGACATAAAACTACATCACGATTGTAAAACGAAAAGAATCTGTTTTGTGTGTGGTGTTAGGGTAGTGATATAGGGGCAGTTTGTTTGGTGGAATGTTCAAAAAGTACACGATTCCGGCGGAGTCGGGAAATTAGGGCGAAATTAATTAGGAGGCACGTATAAATTCGAGGGAATTCAAGACGAATTCCTGCTCTAAAATCCTTGCAGGAGTCGTTAACCACGCCGAGTGATAGTGTAATTTTACGCGTCGACGTCTACGTCGGTTGTCGGCGCGCCAAGTTTAATTAAGCAATAATATTCGTTTTTTTACTGTCGATTATCCGAAATTAATTATAACTTTTTGTTCCCCGGGCAAGATATTGGCCACCGATGGGGCGGCCGTAATTACGCGACGTTCGGTTAAAAGTGAAACTAAAATCCTCAAAGAAACATCTTGGGGGTTCCCCTTGCGAAGGCCCGGCCTTTGCGTTCCCCCTTTTCCTCCCGTCGGACGCGTTCATGATTTCCCTTAGGGTCTCTCGTTTTACAGGGTACGATTATGTTAAGTGGATATGAAATTCATTGCTTCGTCTCCTCTGATACTGTAAAAATAACTTTTTTAACGCGAGTCTAAAGTAACCAATTCACCTTTTTATTTATCCATACGTATATGATGATGGTCCATAAAGTGGACACTGGCCACTCCGTCGTATTGTCAACATGATCACAAAATATATGACATTAACTTTGGGGGAGTGCCGATTACTGCCATAAAATATAGCCCAATTTTAGTTTAGCACCCTTTTTCTTTCTTCCATTATCTAGACCTAACATCTTTCCTTCATCTCATTTCATAAAGAAAATCATCTTAATATTATTATTAAAAAATTAATCCACTTTGTCTAGGCGGTGGAACTATTTTTATGCAATTACCTATATATTGGGCGCTGAGAGTGTTCGTAAAAGTTAAGTTCCACGTAGAGATTGTTAGGAAACCTATAAAATATGTATAGAAGGACCTAATTATGCAGCTTGCCCGTGTATGTATACAGTGAACTTCTCCTAAGCCGTGTTAAGTTATAACACTGTGTCTGGTACTGTTAACGTAACAGGAATTATTAATGAGTTTTATTCAATTTTGGGGCCCTTCGAAGGGGTGTATCCCTTGCAGGGTGGTCGTAATGTTTACCTAGTCGAGATTCGCCCTGGTATGAACGGGTGCAGAATAATTTTTGCACAACTGGTGATCGAAGAAAGTAAATATTAATGGGCGACGTAGGTTCGCTTTCTTTGACGTTATTTGCAGTCGCCGTTGCTTTTCGTTTCAAAGCGAGGATCGCCTTTGAAGGGTAGATCTTTTTTTTTCTCTTTTCAGTTGGACGATTTCGAACAGAAATTACAGGTCCGAGCATTTTTCCGGAATTAAACGCAACACCGTTCGCAGTCGGGACAACAAATGGACGCGTTATCGGTACAACTGATAAAACGGTCCCTTATCTGCGACGGTGCAGCTTTGGGAATGATTAATGAAACGCGACACTGGACAGGACAAAAAAGCAGGACGTCGATATGAGGCCCACTCGAAAAAGAAACCCGCCCAAAAGCCCAAATTGATGTATTGATTTCTACCTATTATGTTAAATTTGTAATTACGCGAAACGAGTACCGACGACAATCAAATAACAAACAGTTAATATAATTCATTTCCCAATAAATTCAATCACACCCAAATAAAATAACATTCTGTATGATTATGCCCTCGACGTCCTCGATGATCAAACACCACTTCGATGTACTACATGTTAAAATAAATAATTCGTTATATATTTGCATAATAATTCATATCATGTCATTTATTCAGTTTCACCTAACAAACGTATTCAATATACGCAGTTAACTAATTCTTTATATTATTCAATTTTAATAATAATATTATTTTAAAAATAAATTCAATCAAATATATAATATACAGTAAAATCTCAATATCACGGACTAATACGGAGAACAATCTAACGCTGAACAACTAACATTAGATCTAGAAATAGAAACATTCGGATTTAGCCGTGCGTCTCTTAAGACGGCTAAACTCGAATGTCGAGTGTTAGTTCTAATGTCAGTGTTTGTACTAGTTTTAGTTCAATGAAAAATATACAAAAATCTAACACTGAATAATAACCAAAATTAGAACTAACTCTAGACCAAGAACTAGAAACATTCGGGTTTAGCCGTGCGTCTTCAGATTTTGGAAATTTTCTAGTTCTAGGTCTAGTGTTAGTTCTAGTTTTAGTATCACTAAAATTAACACAAGACCTATAACTAGAATCATTCGGGTTTAGCCGTCTTGAGAGACGTGCGGCTAAATCCGAATGTTTCTAGTTCTCGGTCTTGTGTTAGTTCGAGTTTTCTACCAGAACTATCACTAGAACTAACACAAGACGTAGAACTAGAATCATTAGGGTTTAGCCGTCTTGAGAGACGTGCGGCTAAATCCGAATGTTTCTAGTTCTACGTCTAGTATTAGTTCTAGTTTTAGTTCAATGAAATATATACAACAATCTAACGCTGAGTAACAACTAAAACTCGTACTAACACTAGACCTAGAACTAGAAACATTCAGATTTAGCCGCACGTCTCTCAAGACGACTAAACTCGAATTTCGAGTGTTAGTTCTAATGCCAGCGTTAGTACTAGTTTTAGTTCAAAGAAAAGTATACAAAAATCTAACACTGAATGACAACTAAAACTAGAACTAACACTAGATCAAGAACTAGAAACATTCGGGTTTAGTCGTGCGTCTTCAGATTTTAGAAACTTTCTAGTTCTAGGTAGACTAAAAGTAACTAAAACTAGAATTAACACAAGACCTAGAACTAAAATGATTCGGGTTTAGCCGTCTTGTGAGATGTGCAGCTAAATACGAATGTTTCTAGTTCTCGGTCTTGTGTTAGTTCGAGTTTTGCACTAGAACTATCACTAGAACTAACACAAGACGTAGAACTAGAATCATTCGGGTTTAGCCGTCTTGAGAGACGTGCGGCTAAATCCGAATGTTTCTAGTTCTAGGTCTATTGTTAGTTCTAGTGACAGTGGTAGGTAGCACTAGTTAGCATAAGATATCACTATGTTGCATATTTTTATTGCATTAAAACTAACACTGGACTAAGAACTAGAAACATTCGGGTTTAGCCGTGCGTCTTCAGATTTCGGATACTTTCTAGTTCTAGGTCTAGTGTTAGTTCTAGTTTTAGTATCACTAGAATTAACACAAGACCTAGAACTAGAATCATTCGGGTTTAGCCGTCTTGAGAGACGTGCGGCTAAATCTGAATGTTTCTAGTTCTCGGTCTTGTATTAGTTCGAGTTTTGCACTAGAACTATCACTAGAACTAACACAAGACGTAGAACTAGAATCATTCGGGTTGGGTTGGGTTGGGTTGGGTTGGGTAGCCGTCTTAACAGACGTACGGCTAAACCCGAATGATTCTAATTCTAGGTCTTGTGTTAGTTCTAGTTTTGGTTCAATGAAATATATACAACAATCTAACGTTGAATAACAACTAAAACTAGAACTAACACTAGTATTAGAACTAACACTAGACCTAGAAACATTCACCATTTAAACCAGAATGTTTCTAGTTCTAGGTGTAGTGTTAGTTCTAGTTTTAGTTATTATTCAGTGTTAAATTATTGTATATTTTTCGTTGTATATATAATCAACCTTTTAATAATTGGATTTGTGTGGAAAATAATATATTTTTCCAGTAGCTTTGAGGTGCGAGTATTTGTTTATTTGGCATCGCCGACGGGGATTTCTAAAAAGTGAATTGATGGCGACAAGGCTGACTTTCTCTCGGCGAAATAATAAATAGCGAGACTTCCCGAATAATTTAGGGTCGTTGGTTCTGCTTAGCGCGTGCCCCGCCTAATTCGGAGTAATCGCGAAGCTATATTCTGAAATGAAATAAACCGACATTTTAAATTAAAAATAAAACGATTTAGCTCTGTAAATAATGACAAACAGGTAGTGCTAGTTAATTGAATTTGCTCGATATAAGGGGCGAGTTTCGTCCGTTTAATCAACCGTGTAATTAGTGGATTAATTAATTAATTCATTAACGAATTATGTCGTTAATCGACAAGGATTGATTTGGTAGACTAAATAATCAACATCGAATCAGTATCGTTATAATTGGATGATATTATTTCTATATGTCAAAGAGAACGTTTTCTATAGAATTGAAATTTTATTGTTAGAGTCAAGTTTGGGATAATTTCGAGTTAAAAATAAGTTTGTTTTGGGGGAGTTAATGAATGTATTGAAGTTAAGGGGGCGATTGACATTTTGGTAGGTGAAAAGCGAAGTTTTAAGTGGTGTAATTATAGAAAGCAAGTTGGAGAGTTTAATTTTTTTAAATCTTATTAGTGCGGGATATAATTGTGGGCAAACTAATTGGGGACGCGCACAAAACGTTATTGGGGCGAAGTTTGTGGAAAGTTTTACGGAAAGTAAGATCTCGCATGATCTTAGATGCTATAGTGTTGGAGTGTAGTGTATATTTCATTGATTGCGCTCGCGTTAGCTTTTGGAGAGACTGTGACACACCCGGGCGCTCATCCTAGCGAGTTTGCGTTGCCGCTGGGTGCCTCCCTCCGTAACGGAGCTGTTCTGTAGCTGCTTATTTATCGGGCGACTACAGGATCGCGCGGTTCCGTGCCTTGCCGCCAGTGCGAGAGAGCGCCGCCATCGATTTAGCAGGAATGAGCGAGTAGGTTGGAAAGTTTTTGGAAACTTGGTACCGTGGACGCAGAGAGACGCGAGAGGTCTCTAGAGGGGTGGCGTTCGCACGAGGTGCTCACTTCCGCTTGCGCCGTAGCAAGCCACGTGACATGAGCAACAAACTCTTCACGCAAGTTTACCGACGCATTCCTGCCGGGCCGGTTGCCGCGAGTTCTTGTGCGCGATCCCGTTGTCCCACTGTGATGTTGTGAGTAACACCGGCGGCCTCGTTAAATCCTAACATTAGAACATTAGGGGAATAGATAGCCTTAGCGGTAACCGTTTTCTTGGTTTCAAAGGGCCCCATAAGCAGTTGCCTTGGCTCCTTCACCGGTATTTGTGGGCTACAGCCTTGTCGGCGTGTACCCCTGCGCGGTCTTTAAACCGCGTGAGACCACAACAACCACATCATCCTCAACCCAGACCCAGACGGGACCGACGCGATCCAGAGTGGCAGGCGCCAACAGAACGCAGCCGTACACACTGCCCCAACAGCAGACACAACACCAGCAAACTGCACCTTCCTATCAATCGAATCAAAACCAAAACCAAAACCAAAACCAAAACCAGTACCAAAATCAGAACCAGATCAATCAGAACCCGACCACGGCCGCCACCAGGGTCCAACCACCGCAACTGCTGGTTGCCGCCTGTAGTTGCCGAGAAACAACCGCCTCCAACGACTTGAGCCAACTGACCTCTGCTTCCTCCAGCGCGACACCAATGCTCTTCGTCCCCTTCTCGGTGCCTAACTTTGGCCCGCCCATCAGTGGTACCAACCAGCATGCTGCCAACTGCAGCCCTTCAAAGGTAAGCCATTATCAAAACTGACGACTTATTCGTGGCTACCTTACTTGGCGGATACTTTATTTGGCCTGCCTGCCAACATCCATCCAATATCCGTCGGATACGGAACATTTCTTTTAACGAACAAACATCTTCGTATCTTTGGAACTTGTCTTTTCCTTTCTTCGCCGCGCGGCCCATTGACGAGTAGAAATTACCGTGAAATGAGCTCAAAAATACATGTCGGCTCGCAACGTCGGAAGTAACAGGCGTTAAGCCCACCTCCTTCTATGAATATGTAATTAATATCTCGTGCTACGAACTTAGACCCAGTTGAGTCACATGAATAAATCCCAAAGCGTACCGCGGCTAAACTACATCGGGAAATCTAAACCCTACTTAGTACGACCGGAATACAAATTCCAACGATTTCGTTAAAAAGTTAGAAAACTGCCGCCGGAATTACTGCGACGAGCACCGCGCGCCCTCAAAGGTCTTATAACGGAATTTGTTTATCTACCAATAAGTTACCCTCAGGCAGGGGGTGATAATATTCGCGATGTTTCATGGTCTCCTCTATTGAGTTCCAAATTTATTTGCATAATCGACTGTAAGTTTGTCTTGTGACCTTAACTTACCCAGTTACCGCAACTATTGCTTCCGGGTGACAATTTAAGTTTTATCTAAATACTACAATTCCCATACGAAAATATTTAACATTTTCGAATAAATGTATTGTCATTAATTTATAGTTTAATAAGTAAATATAAATTTAATAGATAATGTATAATTGGATAATGTTAATTAACAGATTAATTATTATTATCGTTGTTATTGAGAGAATTATGTTTCCCTGATGATACACTTTTAATCGAAACTTGTATATAAATTAACTTTATATTTTACGATATTTTTAATTGGAAAATATTTCGTTGAAACGTCTAGATGTGTATAGAATTTTGACTTTATTTACGAGAGGTTGGGGTAACGATTTTCGGTTAGGGCAATTAGGTTTAATTTCAATTTTCTCTCGTTAACCAAGGGAAGTTCGTCAATAACATAAAACGAAATGGCCAGAGGGCAATTATCATAAAGTTCTCGTTAGAAATAAATTTAAACGAGTGAGAATAAAGTGTTTGGAATACGGGGGCCGATGTAACAAAGTGAAATTGTGCGTACCGCAGATGTCTAGCGAGCGAAGAAGTTTAGATAAAACGAGAAAACCCGGGGGTTGAAGGCATAAAGGGCGATTCCGATAGGGGGACGGGTACCGCACCCGAATAGTATTTCACGTCGAGAAGTTGTAAGTCTCTTTACGCTTTAAATGTAAATGGTTGTCGTTCCTTGATCGATTTCTATCTCACTCTCTTCGCCAATTACTTCGTCACGCGATGGTCACAAAAAAATAAAGGCCTCCAAGTAATTAGCGACAAATTAGTGTTTGGTGTATGGCTTATCAATATCAAACGGCCGAGTCATCAGTCATTTTAGAAATCTTGGCTTAGAAACTTTGCCGGTGATTAATAGCCAACCCTAATCGGTGATTTTCCATTAATTTCGCCCTGTTTTTAATAAAATTTCTTTATAGAAGTAAGTAAACGACGGCGGGTCTTCACAATAAGGGGAGCATTGTTGCCGCAATTTGCTTAATTGAACGTATTGATTACTCTAAGTCGTCGTTATGTAAATAACCAACCGCTAATTAGGAACTATCGCTCGTTGGAAATCGAAAACAGTGTTATTCGTGCTTCGTCGACGACGATAGAAACAACCCTACTACCGCTTAATTAGATTAAAAATTTCGGGAGGCCGAATTAATTTCGAGTATGTTCAGTCCCAGGAGTCAATCGACCGTTTCCGGCAATTCGAGTTTACAGCTACACCCCTAATTACAGTTAACCAGCGCCGTATTAGGTGCAAATAGTGCCGCGTGGGCCACCCTTTCCTCCCGACCCCGGGGGTAGCCGACCGAATTATAATCAGATTACACAGTTAAAGTAATAATTTCCGACCAAACTCGACACCCTTCCGCTTCTAAGGCTCGTGTACTCGCTCGCTGATTTGTCATACGTCTCCGCCTACCCCCGGGGTCCCATTCAAAGCGCTTAATCCGCTAAGAAATCACGGATTTACTGAAATTGCAATAACAAAGCTTTAGAGGACTTGCGGAGGTGCCGAATTCAGAATCCCTAATACTAAAATCTAAACAACATATAATATAGTTTTATTCGAATATAAACCTAATACATTATTTAACTCAAACGACTTTTAATAAGTCAAGTCATTTTTCTGGTTCAAGATTATTTCATATTAATTGAGCTTTGAAAGAAAGTAATCTTGCTTATCCTGTTTGGGCATAAAGTTTATATCATAACTTTCTGATATTACGTCTTGATTGGAACCCAACCCATCAAATTTAGACTAAATCTACCAGCTTCAGAAAGTTTCGTTTTCTTGATAACGCTTTGGGTTGGCTTGGGTTGGTTTGCGCAACGCCACAATCGCCTTCAACTAGTCTACCCATGAGTTATCATTGCAGATAAACTTTAAGTTATGCCTCGCATAGATCATCGAAGAGAAGCTCGGTGTTGTTGCTAAGAATGTTGATTTTGTTGGCTTTCTATTTCACCTTATCTTAGCTGATAACATTCGTTCGCTTCGTTATGCTCAGAGATTCTTCAGAAGAGAACGTTGTTTCTTTGGTTGTTCAAAGTCCTGTTGGGTATCCCACTAAATATGTTGATTTAAAATGTAAGGGATGAAATTCATAGATTTAAGTACCAGAAACGATAATAAGGCCGTCTCTATATGCCAAGGTGTAGTATTACGTTTAGGAATCCCTGACACTATTTGCAGAGTGGAACGACCACGCTTCCCACCATTAAAAAGTGTGGCTCCTCTCATCGCTCGCCCATCAACTAACTTTTTTCAAGCTAATCTCGTTAACTCACCGGATATTTTTCTTCTGACATACCTCACATACTCTACTACTACTATTCCTTCCAGTTTCTCATTGCCGTAGTCGATTTTAGATGTCTATATCATTTGGCATAATGACAGTCCAGGTCCAAGTCTGGAATTGTATGGAATAGCTATATATAGTGTTATTGTGCCATATTTATGCTATGTACCAATTCATTCCTATTCAAAAAGCCTTTGCGCGAAATTCATCAAACTTATCGCAGTTATCCTGTCTAAAACTTTGTCAAAGACCACAACTAAACATATGGCTGTAATGATCCTATGGCTCTTTATCTTCTACACTTCAAGATACCAAATCTCACACTGAGGGGTTTCTGCCTCACTCGTCTCGTGATACACACACATCTATACCAACCCAACCCAACCCAACCCTCCTTAGCTTCCTTTAATGACTCCTTTCTGCCTTAGTCTTTTCGTGTCACAGCCCTTTAAGTGCTGTGGAACATCCCACCGATTATTTTCCTTCTTGATTTATACTTTCTTTGATCGTGTTTATCTGCTATCATCACCACTTGCACTTAACTTGTTCTCCCATTTATTCCACAAGGTTCGTTCTGTACGGGTTACAAAATAAGTTTTGAGTACATAAATATATATATTTAGTTTGATTTTTGAATGTAAATAAGTGTAACAAAAATCGTTTTGAGAAGTGAGTTGGTATTATATAAGTTATCCTGTTGATGTGTGAAAAGTTTTGATAGTTTATTGTCGATAAAAGTTTGTGGGCGATTCTGATACGCATCTTGTATAAGGTGATTCGAGTTGAAAGAGTGTCTGAGCGGATATTGAAAATGACGGGGTTGTTGAATATTCGGTGGGTTAATAAGCGATTTTCGGCTCCGGGTGAAAAGTTTGAGGGTTGAAGAAAATATAGTGGGAGGTAGGCCGTCGCAGGATAAAGTTTGCGGGTACCTTGATGGTTTTTAATTTAGGGGGTTGGCAGGGAGAAGAGCGTAGTTAGTAGGAATTAAATCCCAAATGAAACGGAAACCGTGCTGATTAAGTCGCCGCGGATCCGTACTCTTCTTAATTATTAGATTAAATTCGGGGAAACATTTACTGTAGTACTTACCGAAATGCCCAACCGCGAGGGGCAAAAACCGCATGGCCGACAGCGCCGTTGTCTCTCCCTGGCCCATGAATTGTAGCGGCTGTATCGCGCACCAGAAAACCACAATGGAAGCCGGGGGATTCCGCCTTCCCCCCGATGACAAAAACCCGCCAGCAAGAAACGATGTTAGTACTTTGAGATATATGACCTATGTCGAAGGATCCGGGACTAAATAAATGTAACCCTACACTCTTCTTTATGCATCTGGGCTGCACTAAATCCCAAAGCAATAGTCTGGCGGCGTGGACCATGGCGGAATTTGATTTTCGACAACGAATTTAAGTGCCTCGTAATAAAAGTAAAGTGCCGCCTGTATTTCTGCGGGATGGCGATGAAACCGTACGGCGAAACCACCACCGCTACCATACCCCCTTTATCCCCCTCGCCGTTTGTCTGCATATCAAAACACTGTGGTCGAATGTACACACCGATAACGATAGCACCTGCTCTCTCCACTGCCGTGCTCCCAACGTTTTGACCAACGTTTACCCGCTAGCTCTTGTTTGCCGATCGTTGAGGGTAAACAATGCACGAAATGGTCGGGCTTATTAAAGAAATTTTTAGGGATGCTTCGAAAAAGAATTATTTTATGCCTGCGTACGTGAAAATGGGGTTACTTTTTCCTGTAACCGAGCGACCGTAAGGGTTCGGAATCCGCAGTCGATTCAGAGCTGGGTAAACACAGATAGGCGCAACGTCACCGACAATGTTTATCATGCAAATTGTAGATTAAAACCAATTTCGAATTCTGAACTACACGGGTACCGCAATTTGCGGACCATGTGGCGCCTTCAATTTACCTAAACTAACTGTTTTACATTTAAATGCGTGGCCCAGCCAGGAAAAAAGCCAACGGGTGCGTCCCTGTGCGAAATAATTGTTCAATTGTAAATGTACCGTGTTCAATATTCGTTTATGACGAATTCAATTC